GGCTACATGATGCTGCTTATACAATGTTTGTATAGACCAATAAGCACACGGCGGTTATTGGTGTCAACATCACGAAGACCGCCTTTACTTTCTATGGCTTCACCTTGTCTAGTAGCTACTCTGGAAACAGCTGGAGGGGGCGTCTAGTTGCTACTCTGGAAACAGCTGGAGGGAGCGTCTAGTAGCTACTCTAGAAACAGCTGAAAAGAGCGTCTAGTGGCTACTCTAGAAACAGCTGGAGGGAGCGTCTAGTGGCTACTCTAGAAACAGCTGAAAAGAGCGTCTAGTGGCTACTCTAGAAACAGCTGAAAAGAGCGTCTAGTGGCTACTCTAGAAACAGCTGGAGGGAGCGTCTAGTGGCTACTCTAGAAACAGCTGAAAAGAGCGTCTAGTTGCTACTCTGGAAACAGCTGGAGGGAGCTTCTAGTTGCTACTCTGGAAACAGCTGGAGGGAGCTTCTAGTTGCTACTCTGGAAACAGCTGGAGGGAGCGTCTAGTTGCTACTCTGGAAACAGCTGGAGGGAGCGTCTAGTAGCTACTCTAGAAACAGCTGAAAAGAGCGTCTAGTGGCTACTCTAGAAACAGCTGGAGGGAGCGTCTAGTGGCTACTCTGGAAACAGCTGGAGGGAGCGTCTAGTGGCTACTCTGGAAACAGCTGGAGGGAGCTTCTAGTTGCTACTCTGGAAACAGCTGCAGGGAGCGTCTAGTTGCTACTCTGGAAACAGCTGGAGGGAGCGTCTAGTAGCTACTCTAGAAACAGCTGGAGGGAGCTTCTAGTTGCTACTCTGGAAACAGCTGGAGGGAGCGTCTAGTGGCTACTCTGGAAACAGCTGGAGGGAGCTTCTAGTTGCTACTCTGGAAACAGCTGGAGGGAGCGTCTAGTGGCTATACCACAAGTGTGACGGCAGTGCACATTGTAAAACCTTCATCTAGGCCAAGCAGTTCATGCACTGAGCTGGAAATCTCATCGTCTCACGGAATGTGTGCCAACGACAGCAGCCATTAACAATGGTAAATACCACCTTCACCCTGAAGAAGACGGTTGGTACGTTCTGGTGAACATCCCAGCAAAGCTGCGATATTTGCACTAGAAAATCCCTAATTAATCGCCCTTTACGACAGGCTTTTTTTTTTTTTTAGGAGGCATGGGCCTTTTATTTATTTCCTAAACTGGGGTCTCACACAGACACACACAGACACACACAGACACACACAGACACACACAGACACACACAGACACACACAATGAGTATCATCAGTGTGAAAGTCCTCTACAGTGCCCGCCAGAAAGTCTCTCCTTTTCTAGCCTTTTTTTTTTTTTTTCCACTTTTGCTGGGTCCGATTAGCCTCTTTTTCCGGAAACCCGTAGGCTCCGCCGTTTTCTCTAGGCCCTGGCGTTTAACATGCCCTAAATAGCTTAGGTTTCGGGACAGGATGTTGTTTGTTAGCCAATTCTCCTTGGTGTTCAGATCATGCAGGATGGCAGTGTTTTTTCTTCAAAGAATTGGTAGCCAATAAATACATTATTGTAAAGCATACACGTCCTGAGAAAGAAATGAGTTCAAAGAATGTATAAATACATCATGGTGAAGCATACACGTTTGCAATCACTGGACTTAATGCATGCTTTAAATGCACAGTGTAACCCAGGTTACACCAGATAAAAAATTGTTTTGTGGCCTTTAGAAGAGTCAACAAGATAATTTCACTGAAAACAGTGTTATCTGGCCCCCTAGTCGCCCAAGAGCTGCACTTCCAGGCTGCATTCGAGCAGATTCCACATTCTTTGAACAACAATTGATTTCTGATCGTGACTAATGACATATTTCCCCCCTTTAATCATTAACAAGGAAGATAACCTAATGCCAGAGAATACCAGAAGGATCCGAGCTGTGGCTGCACTGCTGTGTGGGCCGGGTATGCCTGTTAGGAGAGCCGGGCAGAATATGGGACAACTGGTTCGTGCTTCAGTGTTAGAGAACAACGATGTTCAAAGAGTAAGTTTCCTGAAAGAATCTGACACCGTCTGATGGATAACAGCTCGCTGTTGCATTGGTAAATAATATTACAGTTATACAGTAGTGGTAGTAGAAGCAGCAGCAACAATGGCAGATGTAGTAGTAGTATCAGTATTTGTAGTTGTTGCATAGTAGTAGTAGTAGTAGTAGTAGTAGTAGTAGTAGTAGTAGTAGTAGTAGTAGTAGTAGTAGTAGTAGTAGTAGTAGTAGTAGTAGTAGTAGTAGTAGTAGAAGTAGCAGCAGCAGTAGTAGTAGTAGTAGTAGTAGTAGTAGTAGTAGTAGTAGTAGTAGTAGTAGTAGTAGTAGTAGTAGTAGTAGTAGTAGTAGTAGTAGTAGTGGTGGTGGTGGTGGTAATTGCTGTTGTTGTTGTGTAGGTTGTTGTTTTTTGTTGTTGTAGTTGTTGTTGTAGATGCATGAGGAGTAAGAGTAGTAGTAGGCTAAAAAAAATGCTGGACTTTAAATAGGACGAGTTTATTACAATTGAAGAGATCAAAGAAATGCATGGACAAAAGCTGACAGCTATCAGACCAAGAAGACGGTGCTAGACTGGATACATTTGGGATAAAACAAACATAAAATCGTCCATCAGGCGTAAACATGGGAAACAAGTAGATTGTGGAAGCCAGGACGTCCAGGAGAAACTCTTGAAACATTTAATGAGAGCACCTGTAGGACTAGACTGGATTCCATCTATGATATCGAAATGATTCCAGAGGATATGAGGGAATGAAAGAATAAACTGCGGGCCATATGCGGCGGCTAAATTGCATCATAAGGTGATGGATTCTGACGAAAGTTGTAGTCCTAATTGCCTCATAGTCCGTCCCAAAAGTTGTGCTCCCAGACTTTGGCAAACCCTTGAAAACTCCAGTACGAATCAACACAAATTTCTTTATGTGGTTTTATTTTTCCCATGTCCTTACAATTCTATAATTTAAAATTGCACTTATGCTACTTTAAGCGGCGAAATTTTTTTTTTATCTTTGTCGGAGTAATAATTTGTGTACCCCTAAAAAAAAAAAAACAAATATACAGAAACCGACACAAACCGTTTACTTCAAACCACAAACTTGGAGATCGTCTTGGAAATTATTCTGCTCGTGCAGCGATTCGTGGGATTATTTTTATAGTCTATCCCGCATACAATGAAATATTGTTTTAATCGTATTTATGCAGGAGACTAATTACCTGAAAGTGAAACGCCGTTTCAGCAGCAGCAGCAGTAGTAGTAGTAGTAGAGTAGTAGTAGTAGTAGTAGTAGTAGTAGTAGTAGTAGTAGTAGTAGTAGTAGTAGTAGTAGTAGTAGTAGTAGTAGTAGTAGTAGTAGTAGTAGTAATAGTAGTATTAGTAGTAGTAGCAGTAGTAATAGTAGTAATAGTAGTAGTAGAGTAGTACTAGTAAAAGTTGTAGTGCTAGAAGTAGAAGAGTAGTAGTAGTAGTAGTAGTAGTTGTAGTAGTAGTAGTAGTAGTAGTAGTAGTAGTAGTAGTAGTAGTAGTAGTAGTAGTAGTAGTAGTAGTAGTAGTAGTAGTAGTAGTAGTAGTAGTTGTAGTAGTAGTAGTAGTAGTAGTAGTAGTAGTAGTAGTAGTAGTAGTAGTAGTAGTAGTAGTAGTAGTAGTAGTAGTAGTAGTTGTTGTTGTTGTTGTTGTTGTTGTAGATGTTGTTGGTGATGATGATAATGCTGCTATGTGGTACTATAACAGTAGAAGCTGTCTTCAAATGTCGATTGGGCTCCCTTAGTGCAGCCAATGATGACGCTGTTTGCGAGCAGACGTCTCTGGTGTTAAGAAGGCTACCGTGTACTGACCAGATGACGCATCAATCAGCCATGCTCTCATCAACTAGCACCATCTGCCCAGTGAACGAAAGACCACCCATACCTTGCATCTGTTTGTCACTACCATCCATAAAGTAGAACAAGTATTCTCAGGTAACAAGGACAGTCACCAGTGTTCAAGGTGGGAGTTCACAATGCCCTTTACTCTTTCAGTACCAGAAGAATTAGTTTGAAATACCTGAGGAGATCACAGACACAGTGAGAATAGCATGAGTGCATTACTTTCAAAGACAATATATACTGTGATCTATGTTAGCATACCTAGCCAGATTTCAGTAGCATCCTTAAACCAGATAGAAAATAGATAAATGCCCGCCGTTCAATGCCCGAAACAGAGACTGGTTACAGCTAATTACGCACTGACCGTTGGTCTGGACAGAAATATTTAACCAGGTGAAATGTGACAGTATTCAGATTTGGACGACATTGCCTTACATATGCACGATCACCAATATCAAGGATCAGGTCTGTGTTGACTCCACGTTGCGCCATACGGCCAGTGTTGATAAGATAACCCTATGACTCTAAAAAGGGCTCTACAAGTCAAACAAGGTGAGAACCACTGGCCTCTAGTACCCTGTGCGTGTATACGTCTGTTATCGTCGAAATTCGGGACAATTAAGAGAGCCTCTATAGAAGACTCTTTGAAATCCATATTCATGAAAGGATCACTTTCCATGCCTTAAGGCATGTTGGGCTAGACTTGTCTTCAATATACCATGGGCATTCAGAGTGTGATATTGTCAACATTGCGATGGCCACCTTGACTTTCTAGGACTGTACCTACCTAGTATACATTTAAGATATGGAGGCCAAGACCATGTTTGAAGGAAGGGGGCAATGTCCGAATGTCCGTTAGGACTTGAACCCACGAACTTAAGATCCGCAAGTTAGCTTCTAGCCACTACACCACAGCGATTCCCTAAATCCGTACTCAAAACGACATTAATTTTCAAGACACATACACAAACACACACACACGCGCGCGCGCGCGCACGCGAAACTATTCTAATGTCAGTATTTTTTACGCGTCCTTCGTAATGTTTCATGGTAACCACTACTTGTTCTTTTCCTCTTCAGGTGATCTTCTTACGATTGCACAACGCATTGAGACAATTACTGAAGAACACTAGAAACCAACAAGACAATGGAGAATGGCATGGGAAATGGAAGTTGTTTTGAAGACTACGACAGTTCTGCTCTAGTGGCTTTCAAAGTTCTTCAAGACGTCACCTTGATTCTTGGTATCGTTACCAACTCCGTGCTCTTCATAACCATCTGCTGCTCTGGTCAGCTGCGGGCGACCACTTATATCTACATTGCTTCCCTAGCGGTCAGCGATATCATCTTTTCTTGCCATGGTATTCGCTACACCTTGATGGGCAATGATTCAGAAGTAGAATGTGACGCCAGTGATTTTCGGGCCAGGGATTTCATCTTCTTCAACAAGGTATCGTCCGCTGCCAATTACGCAAACATTCTAATGGTCTCCTTGGAACGATGGCTGTACATCGCCCGGCCGTTTTTACATCAGCGATACCTTTCTATAAAAATAACAGTGTGTGGGCTGGCTACGGCCTGGCTATTTGCAATCATTGTCAATATCGATACATTTATTGCAAGCGATATTAAATACACTGCTGTTATCAAATTCAAACTGAATGTTGTGTTTCCATCAATTCATTTCTTCGTCAGTTGTATACTTTGTATAGTGTACGTTCATCTGGCACTCATCGCAAGAGGGCAGCTTCGAGCTATCAACAGGACTAGACCAGTCGGAGTTTCAAACTCATACCCACAGTCTGCTAGTATAGATGCTACAAATGCAACCATGGCATCGATTAAAGAGAATCTCAAGAGTCTCCGGCTCCTGGTGTTGGTATTCGGGTCCTTCTTTGTCCTGATGACCCCGGGTATTTGCCTACACCTGTACGACAAGCACGACTATGCAGGAGTCAACCACCCAATCCTTCATGGCGTCTTCAAACAGATGACCTTCACCCATTGCTGCGTCAACTTTTTCGTCTTCGCCACACAAAACTGTCACTTCCGGCAGATCTTTCTCGGCTACTTCCGGAAAATCTATGGCTGCTTGACCACGGATTCGTGTAGGGAGTTGTGTACCACGGCAGTTACGCCAAACATGTACCGGGAGCAGCAAGGAGAGGAAGCACGCAACCCGAAAATTGTGATATCAGTCAGTTGATATCATGGTATTTTATAGAATCATAGTAGAAATGAGATCTCCGGATTAGCCTTTTCAAACATTAGAATATGTTATTGCCCATACATGAAAAGGATATCAGAAACAGATAGAAAGAATATCTGCACACTCGACTGAATCTAAAATGAAGCCGAAATGGTGTATCGGCTAGAGGCCCGATTGTCGATCTGAAAGCCTGCTTGTCTTCTTCTTCTTCATTCTTCTACACGTCCTGCTTATCTAAATGGAGCTTAACTTTTTTCAAAAATCACCTTGGCTCCCAGGTCGACCCAGCTTTGAGTGGGTGCTCGGTAAAATCCTGGAAAGTGAAGGCGTCAGACTTGATGCTGACCACATCATTCACTGAGCGCCTATTGGTCTATAAAATATACATCTAGCCGTACATGTCCAGAGAGCCTGGACGAGAGGGAAATTGTCCTGTACTTGACCCGTTGAAAAGAACTTGAGATCACTGAACAATAGACACAAGAAGCTCGTCCGGACAAAAAGTCTGATGGTTTCGAAGGGGGATAACCGCGGATGGAAACAAACGCATGAGGAGATAATTGGTAACTTGGCTATTTCCTATGTTGAGGAAAGTCTGGACATCATTGACCCAACAGACTGTCAAAGAGCCATCATAGTGCCAATAGGCAGACGTAGAAGGAGAAAGCAAGACTGTAACCGCTACAGAGTTGAGAGTTAGGAACTGATATACAGCACTTGGGACATTCCCATAAGCACTATTTCCCCCACCGTCAGCAGACAGTGCAGAGATCCGATTATGATGGCACCAGTAGCACTGATAGTATGTCCGTCTGGCCCCTGGTCTGAAAACTTCTAGAGGAATCTGCCTACTAAGACATGCTTGCTAGCATTTTGGAAATACAAATAAGACAGAATGTAGAAGCAACTGCTAACCTGGCGAAGGAAGGATTTAGAAAAGAAAGAGGGTGTATCCACGAAATATTCCTCTAAGACAAATCAGCGAAAGTTAGTTAATCGGTTAGTAAAGAAAATCAGTTGTTTATCCTTTACAGAACCCCACACAACCATCCACTACAATATGTGTGTCTGTGACTCCACCAGAAAACGCCACCTACAATAGTTTGCTAGTGCTTTAATATTTTAGGCTCTTGATGTCACTGCCGAAATTAACGCATGACGGTCTGTTGCCAAATCGCACGCAGTTGGAATCGAACGCGACACTGCTGAATTAGGAAGCGGACTGGCAACGCCTTCGTCGATCAAGAGTCAAGAGGACACGCAGGACAGTATAAACGGAGATTTACTTGAAGAAGTGCTTGAAAGCTACAGAATCAAGAGGACACTGATGACCGCAGACGAACCAGCTATAGAAGAGAGTAAAGGTGAGCTCAGAACAAGACAATGATTTTTTTCTTAGTTTACAAAAAAGTGAAACAATGGGGTTTTCTCTCACTTTTACTAACAATAATATACATGGTCATTACCAGCTAAACAGTTCTATAGCAGCAGCAGGTGTCGACGTCTATGGCAGCAGCAGGTGTCGACGTCTATGGCAGCAGCAGGTGTCCATGTCTATAGCAGCAGCAGGTGTCGACGTCTATAGCAGCAGCAGGTGTCCACGTCTATAGCAGCAGTAAGTGTCGACGTCTATAGCAGCAGTAGGTGTCGACGTCTATAGCAGCAGTAGGTGTCGACGTCTATAGCAGCAGTAGGTGTCGACGTCTATAGCAGCAGCAGGTGTCCACGTCTATAGCAGCAGCAGGTGTCGACGTCTATAGCAGCAGCAGGTGTCGACGTCTATAGCAGTAGCAGGTGTCGACGTCTATGGCAGCAGCAGGTGTCCACGTCTATAGCAGCAGCAGGTGTCCACGTCTATGGCAGCAGTAGGTGTCGACGTCTATAGCAGCAGCAGGTGTCGACGTCTATAGCAGCAGCAGTTGTCGACGTCTATGGCAGCAGCAGTTGTCGACGTCTATGGCAGCAGCAGGTGTCGACGTCTATGGCAGTAGCAGGTGTGGACGTCTATGGCAGCAGCAGTTGTCGACGTCTATGGCAGCAGCAGGTGTCCACGTCTATAGCAGCAGCAGGTGTCGACGTCTATAGCAGCAGCAGGTGTCGACGTCTATAGCAGCAGCAGGTGTCCACGTCTATAGCAGCAGCAGGTGTCGACGTCTATAGCAGCAGCAGGTGTCGACGTCTATGGCAGCAGCAGGTGTCGACGTCTATGGCAGCAGCAGGTGTCGACGTCTATGGCAGCAGTAGATGTCGACGTCTATGGCAGCAGCAGGTGTCGACGTCTATGGCAGCAGTAGGTGTCGACGTCTATGGCAGCAGCAGGTGTCGACGTCTATGGCAGCAGTAGGTGTCGACGTCTATGGCAGCAGCAGGTGTCGACGTCTATGGCAGCAGCAGGTGTCGACGTTTATGGCAGCAGCAGGTGTCGACGTTTATGGCAGCAGCAGGTGTCGACGTCTATGGCAGCAGCAGGTGTCGACGTCTATGGCAGCAGCAGGTGTCGACGTCTATGGCAGCAGTAGGTGTCGACGTCTATGGCAGAAGCAGGTGTCGACGTCTATGGCAGCAGTAGGTGTCGACGTCTATAGCAGCAGCAGGTGTCGACGTCTATGGCAGCAGCAGGTGTCGACGTCTATAGCAGTAGCAGGTGTCGACGTCTATGGCAGCAGTAGGTGTCGACGTCTGTGGCAGCAGTAGGTGTCGACGTCCAAAGCAGCAGCAGGTGTCGACGTCTATAGCAGCAGTAGGTGTCGACGTCTATAGCAGCAATAGGTGTCGACGTCTATGGCAGCAGTAGGTGTCGACGTCTATAGCTGCAGCAGGTGTCGACGTCTATAGCTGCAGCAGCTGTCGACGTCTATGGCAGCATCAGGTGTCGACGTCTATGGCAGCAGTAGGTGTCGACGTCTATGGCAGCAGTAGGTGTCGACGTCTATGGCAGCAGCAGGTGTCGACGTCTATAGCAGCAGCAGGTGTCGACGTCTATGGCAGCAGCAGGTGTCGACGTCTATAGCTGCAGCAGGTGTCGACGTCTATAGCAGCAGTAGGTGTCGACGTCTATGGCAGCAGCAGGTGTCGACGTCTATGGCAGCAGCAGGTGTCGACGTCTATGGCAGCAGCAGGTGTCGACGAACAAGAAGCCTTTGATGAGGTGCTCTTTGCCGACCACCAATGAAAACTTCAAAGTGAAAGTAGTCCGCTGAAGGACCACATCTACCAGCATCACTACAGCGACCTCAAACAACACAAGAAAATCAACACACACACACACACACACACACACACACACACACACACACACACACACCAAAACAGAAGTGATGAATTAACATGTTTAAGTAACATACACTGGTTGACTAGACAGACAGATAGAAACAAGAATCCAACATGCCAACAACTTTACGTCTCTGCCACTACTGTCTGTGTGTACCATTTATTACGGAGGTGTCGACAAAGGGTCGCCAGACTGATGATTTGTGGCCGCCTGACTTGTGCTGCCGCCACGGACTGTACACCTTATGATGTTTATTTTCGCCCCCCCGACAAAAAAACTCCATCACCTGACCGGGGGTCCAACCAGGGTCTTCCGCATGAGAACCCGACGTTGTAACCGCTCGGCCAGCCGTGCCTGCACTTTATATATCAGCTTACACAAATCTTACAACCACAGCTATTCCAGCCGGGATGAAATGTTATATTATAAACGCAGTGGTTCTACCAACTTTTATAATGGTTTATCCCCATGTGGGATGCAATTTGTTGTTATTTGAAGCCCCACCTTGGCTTCTGCCAGGGGTCCTGAATATAGCTGGGCCATAAGATGGTCTAGGCCATAGATATAGCCATACTGAATGAAAGGAGTTTCTAGGACCTCTCCATGGTGATCCTCATCCGCATGGTGGCACTTTGTGTCACTTGGTGTTTATCGCTTGTGTGATGTCCTCCTGGTGGGATACAACTATCAACCTATCTTCTACCAACTGACGGTTCTCGGTCAGACAGGGATATTAAACATAGCACTCGAGAAAAACTAATCACATGTGAAAATCACTTCTTGCTCCCCTTCACTGGCTGAAAACATCGAAAGTTCTTTGTGTCCGTCCATTTGGGACGTTGGCCCTAATTCAAAATAGAGTTTAGCGTGCACGTCCATTTTACAGATGGCCTTATTTTTAAGCAGACTGTTGGTTCCTCGCCTCTTAGGCAGATGCATTCCAACTTATAAGGAAACACCCCTAATTAGTCCACGTTTACGACATGCTTGTCAAGGGGAGGGAGTCAGTGAGTCTATTCTTTCGTTCCCCCTAAATGGAAGCTAGAACCCACCAGAAGAAACTATGAAATGAAATGTTTGAGAAAGGCCGCCAACTAGACTAGGGGACATCCTGACAGAAATAGAGATAAAATAAACCTATTGCAATATTGCCTGTAGTCATATTTATTGGGACCCAAAGACTGAGGTGTTTCTGCCACCTAACTGAGAGTGGGTCCAACGATGCAAGCAGCGACAATCAAAAACCCTGCAGCGTAAACATCAGGAGGCAGACCAGAAAGAAGTTGGCTTGAAAGAGTCACTGTCAACTTCACAACATTACAGCCTAGCAAGCCAGAGAGAGAGAGAGAGAGAGAGAGAGAGAGAGAGAGAGAGAGAGGGGGGGGGGGAAGTGACATAGTTTGGCTAAACCGTGATGCCCAGAGGAACAAGGAACAGAAGAAAGAATGCTGACGGATGTTGCTCCACTGCGGGGCTGCTGTCGGTAGGTAAACGCCTCATGGATGTGAATCACCCTGGAGCCAATCCTAAAAATCCCGTTCTGTGCATGCAATAAGACAGGAAAGAATATAATTATTCAAAACATGATAACCTGTTATTAAGATGCTTTGTTGTTATTGTTGTTTTTTTTTTTTTTTCTAACGGTACACATTGATCACCGTTCAGAGCAATGGCAAACTACTGTACGTAAAATTTGTCTAGAAAAACCACAAGAGCCAAAACATAC